AAAAAATAAAAAAAAGAACCTGTCAGTTGCCACACATATTCAATATTGTTTGCCACAATTTTCAAAGCGATATTGTTCAAAAAGGTTACCTAAAAATTCCTCTAAATTAGGTTTCGTTACAATGTTCTTGCAAGTTGCAAGTATTTCTTTTGCAGTAAAACCAATAGACGAAGTTTGCGTTGAGTAAGTATAAGCATAATAAGGCTTAAGATTTTACATTAAAGGGCTATTCAGTAAACGTCTACAAAAGCCTTGCATAGTACAATGTACGGTGATTGAAATCAACTTGTTCAAAACTTGTGAGACATATAACATCGACACTGACTTTTAAGCTTAACTTACGCTACGCCCACTTACCGGAAATTGTAAAACATGATAGTTTTATTGGATCAGGAAGAGATGAGACATTAATAGTCCTCTGACCACTACTTGATTGCTTGCACTTATCACATTGGCAACAAAGCCGCAGCCAACAACTGTGGAACCTTAAATAAGTTAATGAACAAAAGAATAAGAAAAATTTTAAAAGAAATGTTTATATTTAATTACAGACATATAGCATATTAACCATAAAAAATGAAATGACTTGTGTAGTTTTCCCGATCTACTGTTAGTTGTTAGAACACGTGATTAACCTAGTAGCTATTTGGGAGCGGAGGTGTTGAAAGTTGTAATCGCCCGCGTAAATGTAAGTGGAGCTGTACGAATAATTTTTTTCTAGGAAATCGATAACCATAAATTGACTGTTCAGAATTGACCGTTGGCTGTTTCCAGTGGAAACCTTAAAAGGATCCAGTGGAAGTCACAGAATGATGAGAGGAGGTGCAAGCCCTCCCTCACACAAACACACCCACACTGAGCATTGCCTCGTCCTTGTTCTATCCTATTTAGCTCGTTTTGGTCTCCAGTCCAAATCACAAAATGTTCCTAGTCATAACCCTATGACTGGAACCCCTCGTAAATTACCACCTTGTGTAAGCAACCGGGACCACTTTTCAGGGCGTACGTTTCATAATAATACACCTTTTTAACTTGGAAGTTTTGTTTCCCAACTCAGTCAACGTGATGTTTTCAAGGTAATTTGTATTTGTCTTTTCGTAAATTGTGCATACATATGCACATGTTGCACGTGTGTAGGACAAAATCGGGAAGAAAAGTTCTTTGCCGTACCATCACCTTGTCTGAAATGGGAAAACAAATTAAGACATACAAGCTAAAAAGGTCTATTTCCATTTTTGGTTAACGCCAAAATCGCCGAAAACGTAAACGATAGGGAGCTCTTTTCAGAGCCCTTAGAACCCCCGATCAATCCCCTGCTCATCCACATGGTTCCTCCTTTTGTGAATGTTAAAGGTCCAATGTTCTGTCTTCAAATAAATGGAGAAGTAGTCTGGGAATCGCGAAAAGTTTATAGTTATCCGAGGATGACATTTTATTTGCCCCAACGAAGCATTCTACCATTAGGATGCCAGCTTTTCGCCAGAAAGTACAAACGGTAAAATACGAAAAAGATTAAAAGCAGAGACTTGGGTAAAACTACCGTAAATCTTCTATTAAGCCGCCCGGGGGGCTTATTTTTGGCTTTTTATGGTTTGTTTCTTGTACCTTCTCGCATTATGCTTGGTCTCTAATGTGGAAAGTTGGCAAAAATGGTAAACTAAATTAGCCCATTTCTAACGTATTCATACGTGGATGTGTGTCCGTCGTTCCAATCTATTTGCAAGCAGTTTCCAGATACCAGTGGCTTGACATCTGTCACACTGTAGGTTGACTGCAAACCACAATACAGATACTTCAAAAATTGGTGCTAAAACTAATCCAATGATCGCTTTTGTTTTTCAACAGAACTGTTTCAGAGGCACCCAACGACAGGTTTCTGTAAAATATCTGTTCGGAGAGGCAAATATTGCCTAGATTTTTCTATTAATTGAGGACAGCTGAACAGTTCTAGATGACCGTTCCATTCACGTACAAGTTTCGAAGCTAATCTAATAAATTCCCTACGATTTTCTGAAGTTTAATTTTTCACATTTCACTCCCTAGATTAGGCTATTTCCGAAAAAAAGGAAACCTAAATTTTTACGGATTAAAAAATGTGATGGAGAGAGGACTCAGAAAAATTCTCACTTGCGCAATACGTTAAATTGCATCTAAAATGTTCGAGAAAGTAAGACTGAAGCCCTTGTAATTTCGAAAAGACTCATGCAAGCTCCCCTAGGATGACCGAACAGATACAAATTTTATAGCGCCGCTTAGAATGTATTTCTTCAGATCTATAAGCAGTCTGTATAGCCTAAAAAGTGTTTTCAACGTATTTAGGAGGAAAGCGTTGTTGGGTGCCCTTGCTGTTTGCTTTCATATTCTCTACCAGTTGTATTAGTGATTCCAATACGGCCTAAACTTCAGGTCCCAGGTGTTCGAAGGGCGATTAGCGCTAAACTAGGGTTAAATTTTAACCCAGGTTTTTTTTTTTTGTTCAAAAGCATTTTTCAGGATAATTTTCTCAATTCTTTTTAGAGCGTAAAATCATCAAATTGTGCACAAAAAAATAAAACTGAATTTGCTTTTAAAGTTTTCATAGCTGAATTGAAATTTTGCACTAACCCTGGGTTATAACCCTGCTTTGAACAACCCAGCCCAGGTACGCGATATCTTCCACGTACGTTTGCAGGCCTGCTGCTCATGTTTTATAGCCTTATTATAACAGTTTTTCCTTGAGAAGTTCCCTTTTTCATATAACTTATATTAAGTGTAGTCTTAACTCGTGGACACGTATATCTAGACATGCGGTATTTCTAATTAAAGTCACTTAGAGTGAGCTATTAAAACAAAAAGAAAAAAGCTACAAACTGGCTAAAACAGACACAACTAACCTGAGGTTTTCCTCGGAGAAAACAACTGAAAGTGCTACTACGATCAAATTTGGGAATTTGTTTTTGATTACATATTTCGAAAATGTATGTGAAAGTGACTTACCGTGCCAAGTTTGGAGTCCAAATATGATCTGGAAGTGTGTTTATTTGCACGACAGTTTTCGTAAATGTCTTGCCGCCATTACTCGATTCAAAAAATGACCGGGAGTAGTATTTGAAGGAGTTGGGGCGAGATGTGACGTAGAAACATCAACGCGGCAAAACAAGGCAAACAAACGTGGCTAATTTCGCATGCAGGACGAGATATTTTTGGAAGCTTTTGGAGGTTCTTTCTTCGCTTTTTTGACTTAAAGCGAAAGTATGCCTGGTAGACGTTGTGTTGTTCAGGACTGTGGAAACGTAAAGAACGATGAATTGGGGATTTCTATTCATAATTCTCCTGATTCGGGCAGCGTTAGATTAAAGTGGAAAAGGTTCGTGTCCATTCATCGGAAGGATTTCAACCCAGTGGGAAAATTTGCTGTGTGATCGGAGCATTTTACAAGGGATTGTTTTACGCTTGCTTTTCCGATGAAAGACATGAAAAGGAATTTGAAGAAGGGGACGTTTCCAACCATTTGGAAAAAATCCTCTCAAACACTATCAAAGCGGAGTCGACGATCGGTGAGTGAAATTACAATGTATTTGCGCTGTGCTTATCACCATTATATTTATTTCCCCATTTACCTGTGACATGATTTTTTCTGGCATCGTTGTTCAATATTCGTGTAATGAATGCTCTGACTATTTGGACTTCCCATATTGTTGCATGTGTTTTCATACTTTTCTGCTTTCTTCTCATAGTTATAGTAAAACGGGCATTTGCGCTGAGTGGACGTGAAGTCAATTCCCCAATTCCCAGACCTTTCCACTCAAGCGTAAAATTTAGAAAAAGTGAAGCTACATAGAAATCCGGCTCTCTATTTTTTGAGAGATTATCTTGCTGTTACTTTGAGATTTGACAGTACTCCAAACTTCCCTCCAAGAAATCTTACAGCAAATTAAGAGTTACACGCGAGTCTTTTAAAACGACCAAAAATGGACTTAGTCTGATTTCTACATTCTATAAGTACAGTTACTGTTTGCGGGGTTTTTTTTTTCGTTTGTATTTTAATTCTATTTTCACTGTCTGCAAATGATGCATACATTTTAAGGCAAAGATGTGGTTAAACCTTGCTTCCATTTCTAGTTTTGAAAACATCGACATAAAGCTCAAATTTAAACTTGTTTTGAAGGGGAGATATAAAAAATGGTCGTACCTATTTTCATTTTTAGCTACTAAATGAAATTCTGGCTGGTCAAACTACTAATGAGGATACAGAGGAAGAAGACAATCCTGAAGAAGAGGTGATCTCTTTGAAAGGAAGTTCTGCACCTGAGGAGAGTGCTGACACTATGGGGGCTCCCAATCTCAACCCTGAGGAGTCTCCAGAAGTCGAGGGTGTTCTGAATACAAGTCAGGGTTCTTTGCTTGAGGTAAATCCTGAAAAGGAGGGCTGCATCCCTGAGACTGAGACGGGTGAGATAAGTGTTGATGCTGAGATGGCTTCAGAGGTCCTAGGTACTCCTGGTGATAAGACAGCTCTCGAGAGCCAAGGGATTTCAGGCACTGATGAGGTTACTGAGACCATGCAGATCCTGGAGGCTCAGGGAATCGAAAAAGTGCAGGATATGGATGAAGTTATGCAGATTGATGAATCATTAACGATTCCTGAACTTGAACAGGTTTCTATGGTAGGCGCATAACTCTAATTAATGTTTATTTGCATCTTTGTATTATCATAACAATGGAAAACTACATGTGCAGTTATTTTACAACAATACTAAAACACAAAAATTCTAAAGTCTTGTTATTACAGCCTGTATTAATGTTGAAAGTTTGTTTTTTGTAGGATACTCCAACTGGACATGCTGGGAATTGCACAACATGCAAAACCCTGAGGAGTGAGGTGACTCAGTTAAGGGGCAAAGTCACAAGACTGAAGAGTAAGTTAATCTCCAATCAAGATCAGTGGGTTGAAACCTTTAAGAGCATACAAGAGCCGAAGCAGTTGCTGATGGTGAGTGCTGGTGAGTCAACAATAATTG